ACGGCTTCCGTCTTGTCCACTTTCAGTTGTAAGAAGTTTACGCTCATCCAGGCCCTGGTGTCTGCCAGACAAGCTGATGGAACATCAGTGACCTGGATTCGCAGCTGGAGGAAGCAGAGTAGATTTCTGTGTCATCCGCAAACATGTGGAAGTTTACCCAGTGTCTGCAGTTGACATCACCAACAGATAATATAGATAAGGAAAAGAAGAGGCCAAGGATGGAGTCCTGGAATACCCCACAGGTGTCCGGAGAAACCATTTGCCGAGATGAAGTGGAGGTGGTTGGTTAAGTAGGACTCGAACCATGCAAGTGGGGTCCCACTAAAGTGGATGAGGGAGTAGAGGCAGTAGAAGAGGATGGCGTGGTCGACTATGTCGAACGTGGCAGAGAGATGCAGCAGGATGCGGAGGCAGAGGGAGCCCTGGTCACAGATATAGAGAATGTTGTTTGTGACTTTGACAAGTGCTGTCTCTGTGCTGTGAGCCCAGTGAAAACCAGACTGCAGGGCCTCGTGAGGGAGAGATGTGACCAAAGTTGACCTACAACAATGCATTCCAGGACTATGGCAGGGAAGAGCAAGTTGGAAATGGGATGGTAGTATGAAAGGGTGGGAGGACGATGCAGCCAAGCAGATATTTTCAATCTTTGAAGTGAAGAAGTCTAGGATCTCTTCGCATTTAGCGTTTGAGGATAGAGGGAACTTGAGGGGGTGCATGGAGCAGGTGATGGAAGGTGGAGATCAGTATCTTTGGGTTGTTTTTGGCCTCCAGGATGATTTTGGAGTAAAAGTCAGTTTTCGGCCTGTGAAAGGGAGAGGCAATGGGTGCAGAGATGCTTGAGCCATAGGCAAAACAGCAGAGGAAGAAGAGGGTATGAAAGGATGCAATTTAAGACACATGGAGAGAAATGCAAAGAACAAGAAATCTGATAGTGTTGACAAACTCGAGCGTTGAGTAGGCCACTGTTGGTTATCTGTATCTTTCTTTGTCAGTCATTATGGAATGTAGATTATTTCTAAATACTTGGAATGTGCCTGCTTTCCTAGGATCTACCCGTTCTGTACCAGTAAGCAATTTACCACTCACCCCCTATCGGGCTCTTCCCTTCAAATTTTACCTAACTTTGTCATAAGATAACTACAGCACCTGTATATCTGTTCCACTCAGCTTTCTCTGGAGTGGTAGTGAGAAGTTTTGCATATAATGAGGAACTTTCAGCCAGAAATATCTTGGCTTCTTAACCCTGAGGAGATGTTTCATATTCCAATAATAGTTCCTACTTTGTGCCTGCTGACTTCAAGTAGGTCTCACCTTGTAAATCACATCTACAAGAGACAGTCTCAGATTTCCACTAACTTGGACCACATGGCACATCTAACCAGCAGCCTTAGCACATTGCTGAAGTGTGGAATTCAGTTTCTCTAACCTTCTCTTTGTCCTTAGCTAAGGACCCATCATGTGTCTCTGAGGATTGTACCAGACACTGGAGGGACTGTGAGCTTGGAGACCACTGTGTCGGCATATTGGGATTCATTTAATATGTTCATCTTTTCCCTGGATTGATCCAGCTGCAGATTTTGTCTCAACAGATTATTCAAGACATCTAAAATTATTACATGTTTGAACAATTTGTCTTTAACAGCCAAACCTTTCTTGATTAGTCGTTAGGGGAGCAGCTAAGATTTGCGCTTGGGTCCATTCGCAAAATCTTGAAGGGGAGGAAAACTGTTTCCTGCCCATAATTATTATCTTAAAAAAAGTTAATGTATAATACAGTTGACCATAACTGCGACCTGAGGTCACACCAATAGGTATTTGCAATATCTAAAGTAACAGATTTAAATATTCCATTAACTGGACTCAACAATACTGCAGGTAACAGATGGTCGCACTGTACACGGTGTGGATTAAAAGCTTTTCAACCTGTTCTGCAGATTTATACACTTACGAATCTTAAAATGAAATCTAAACTCTATACATTAGACTGGAAATAATCTGACAAAAAAATTAAAAAAGCAATTGCAGCAAAGCAGTGGCTTTAAGTGAAGTTGACTCCTTCACTTGGGTTACAATGAAATCATTGGCTCTACGGTTTGCATGTAGCAGAACACCTACCTTGTTGAAAATGAGAACATTGCAGTTTGAGACTTATCAGTTCCACATAAAAACTCTTACAAAATAATTTTAAACCAATGCAAACTAAAAACCTACTGTGCTGGAACACTGCTGTATTGTTCTGTTGTGTTGTTGCTATTTATAATGTTGACCTTGATGAAGATGAGACAATTTGCACAAACAATGCACAACAGGAAGATTGCTTATAAATACCCATGGCCTGTGACGATTCTGTTATGAAGAAATTTCACCGTTCACTCAGGTAGCATGGAGTTGGATTTAATGCAAGATTAGCAATATGTTTGTCTACAACATCTATTTCCAAAGATCATTAAAAATATGTTTTGCTTTTTTTTCACTAAGATGGTTACACCATTGTGCATGTAGGTAAGTTCATAGAATCTGTGTGCATAACACTGTATATAAGCAGGTATTCCAAAATAAATCAATGTAGACTGAATTTCCATAGGGGGATAGGTGATAAATTCTACCTCCAATTTGTTTCCCTCTCCCTTTTTTTGGCAACAGTAAACAATGGGCCTCAAATTATTCAGGTTCGTATTTCATGAATAAAAACTGACTTTAACAATTAATGCTTATTTGGGAGAACAAATCGTGGCAAGAACCATGTGTGAAACCATGAAAGAGGGCATTTTAGAAGTGAATCTGTTTGTCTATTTGTGAAGCCTCAATTATATTTTACGCTGAAAATTTTCAACTTTTGAATTTAATTTCTGGTGTTCCTTCTGGTGTTTGCTGAGATGTACTGCTTTCTGCTTCTTTTAGCAACATCTCCTTAGAGTTAAGGTAAATAACTGTGTACGAGTAACCAAGAGAGAGCTCTATATGTGTCTGACATTTCTTGCAGCAGCGTATGAGGTTTGATGTGTATGTGGGGGTAGGGGGCGGATATGAGGTTTGGTGTTTGTGTGTGTGTGGGAGGATATGAAGTCTGGTGTGTGTGGGGGGAGAGGGTATGAGGTTTGGTGTGGAATTCCATCCCCCAATCACTCCGCCTCCTTAGCCTCCTTCAAGTCCCGCCTCAAAACCCTCTTCTTCGACCATGCCATTGGTCAACCCCCTTCCCCTCCCTTCTCCCCCACTGACCCCAGCTCTGGTCTGAAATGCTGTCACTGTCCAGTTCCTTGGGCCATCCTCTGACGTGAAAGGCGCTATACACATGTAATCTTGTTGTGTGTGTGTGTGTAGGGGGTGATGAGGTTTGGTGTGTGTGTGGGAGGGGAGGTTTGGTGTGTGTGTGGGAGGGGGGGTTTGGTGTGTGTGTGGGAGGGGGGGTTGGTGTGTGTGTGGGAGGGGGGGTTTGGTGTGTGTGTGGGAGGGGGGTTTGGTGTGTGTGTGGGAGGGGGGGTTTGGTGTGTGTGTGGGAGGGGAAGTTTGGTGTGTGGGGGGGAGGGGAAGTTTGGTGTGTGTGTTGAGGGTGATGAGGTTTGGTGTGTGTGTGGGAGGGGAGGTTTGGTGTGTGTTGGGGGAGGAATATGAGGTTTGGTGTACGTTGGGGCGTGGGATATGAGGTTTGCTGTGCGTTGTGGGGTGGGGGCAATAAGAGGTTTGGTGTGCGTTGGGGTGGGGGATATGAGGTTTGGTGTGTGTTGGGGGGGATATGAGCGCTGGTGTGTGTTGTGGGGGGGATATGAGGGTTGGTGTGTGTTGTGGGGGGGGATATGAGGTTTGTTGTATGTTGTGAGGGGGATATGAGGGTTGGTGTGTGTTGGGGGGGTATATGAAGGTTGGTGTCTGTTGTGGGGGGATATGAGGGTTGGTGTCTGTTTTGGGGGGATATGAGGTTTGGTGTCTGTTGTGGGGGGGGGGTATGAGGGTTGGTGTCTGTTGTGGGGGGGGGTATGAGGGTTGGTGTCTGTTGTGGGGGGGGGTATGAGGGTTGGTGTCTGTTGTGGGGGGGGTATGAAGGTTGGTGTCTGTTGTGGGGGGGGGGTATGAGGGTTGGTGTCTGTTGTGGGGGGGATATGAGGTTTGGTGTCTGTTGTGGGGGGGGGTATGAGAGTTGGTGTCTGTTGTGGGGGGGATATGAGGTTTGGTGTCTGTTGTGGGGGGGGGGTATGAGGGTTGGTGTCTGTTGTGGGGGGGGGGGGTATGAGGGTTGGTGTCTGTTGTGGGGGGGGGGTATGAGGGTTGGTGTCTGTTGTGGGGGGGGTATGAGGGTTGGTGTGTGTTGTGGGGGGGGGTATGAGGGTTGGTGTGTGTTGTGGGGGAGATATGAGAGTTGGTGTGTGTTGTGGGGGGGGATATGAGGGTTGGTGTCTGTTGTGGGGGGGGCTATGAGGTTTGGTGTGTGGGGGGAGGGTTTGGTGTCTGTGGGGGGGGTGGAGTTTGGAGTATGTGGGAGGGCTGAGGTTTGGTGTGTACCCCACCACACACACCAAAGTATCACAGATACCTGTGCATAGAATGCCTGTGTTAAAGGCTACTGCTGGTCTGAAACTACTCCTTGGGTGTGGGTTGTGGCATTACTAATAGTTTTGTGTGTGTATACAGCTTACGGCTTTGTACGTATGTACAGAACATAAGTGCAACTGATGCTGGTGATGTACCAGAGATACTGTGATCCGTAGTATTCTTGGTAGAAATGTAGATAGTTTGTCCATTTGTGAAGCAGCAATATTTTTCAGTCCATGTAAGTATCAAACAGTTTGTGGAGGACAGTGGGATGCTAACTCTCAGGTCAGCCTTTGATATTGGTGACATACTGCTGTAAGGATGATGAGGATGTCAGACAGCATCTTACGTATAGTTAATTTAGGCATCTTTCTCCCTTCCCTCTGTCTCCCCTTCCCGTTTCCCTTTTTACCTCATCTTTCAAATCACGGGACTGACACTGTCCCTTCCATCTGTCTTTTCCTACCCAGAATCCCCTCAAATCCTACCACCTGACAAAGGCAAAAGCAGAGCGCCCGAGGATGGCATCCGAGACGGCAACAACAACAACAATCTCTTGATTGGAGCCATCGTGGGAGGTGTCGCGCTCGTCATCCTCATCGCCGTCGTAGCTTTCATCGTCCTCCGCAAAAGGCAACAAACCTTCAAAGGAGACTACAGCACAAAGAAACATGTGTTTGGCAATGGGTACAGCAAGGCTGGCATCATGACCTCTGCTCCCCAACATGTACCATACCAGGAAGAATCTGATGAGGATAAAAAACCCTCTCCCATCAACGTGAGCTATGAAAATGAGCGAAAGGTTATGCGAGAGGGAGCAGACTTTGATGTGGACTCCAAGCGCCCTTACTTCACTGTTGACGAGGGAGACACACAGGATGACTTTGATGACCGGACCCTAAGCTTCCAGTATCAGCCTGAGCTAACGGAAGACATGGTGTCACAGAATGATGGCTCCATAATTTCAAAGAAGGAGTGGTATGTGTAGAGGCAGATCTCTGGCACTAGACAGGGCTACAATGTCCTGACCTCCTCACAGGTCATCTCTTTGTAAAGAGTTAATTAACCTGAGCTAAAATCCTAACCATTACATTGTGGTTTATTTTTTACATTTCATTAAGAATAAATTTTGTTCTAAAAACTTAAAAAGCTTATGTATATGATATTAATTGAACACAAGAATCTCACAATACAAATTGGACTTGTTCTAAAACCTAATGTCTACCAAACAGACATCAAGTTGTGTCTCAGGTCAGGCTACCTGACCCTCTATGACTGCATTAACTTAGTAACCATCATTTATTATTAAGCACTGACTAAAGCTGGACACACTATTAACTTACCAGCACTGGGTAGTGAAAATTTACTTACCAAGTTTACTTTTTCTTGGTAAGAAATAACTGTTCCCTTTGCTAATATTGATTTGTTGATCAATAACTGTTACAATTCAGAGAATGAGCTTTGTGCTTCAGTGAATGGTCCTTAATATCCAGTCAGTAAATGGTTAAAATTGCTCCATGATTTGTTGATGAGATAAATACTTTCTGAATCCTAATTTTATTTGAATCGCACACCACAATACTGCCACAATAATTCCCAATTGGGTGTTTAAATGACATGGTACCTTTAAGTCAAAGATTTATTGTACAGTTCCTGGGCTTGGAAATTAATTTGCCTGACCTGGAGTATTTGTTCTCTCTTTGAATTAAATTCTCTTCCCATCTTACAGTATACACATATGTGAGGGTTTAGTTTTTTTATATCTTCTCAGTAAATGTCTTAACCACGTGCAGCCTGGCAGGATGTTTGCAGAACCAGCCTTGATGGCCAGCTTCTAGGAAGCATGGCCACAGAATATAAAGATGTGGATTAAATTGTTTGGTTTAATCCATGCATGTTTCTAAATATTTAAAAATGTTCTCCATGCAGTGTGTGATGTTGTAAACTCAATTACGTAAAAATAATGAATTTTTTAGATTTGTAACACCAGATTATACTTTGAGCTGACTTTATGCAACCTTGGTAAGAAATTAGCTGTATGTTGCAGAGTGAATGTGGCAGTTGTCGCAGGCAACGCTGTGTCGTTAAAGAGTAATTGTGTGTATAGGAGCTTTGCTTCAATATAAGTGCGTTATTTTGTTATTTAGAAATAACAAGTGAACAGCAACTCAGTGAGGCTTGTCTGGAGACTGAACCACTGTGTGTATTTACATCTGACATGAGGCTAGCTGCCAATGAATTGTCAAATCCACATTTACACAGACTCATCACACAATTAAATGGATATTTTTGTAAATGGTTTGATACTTGGGAATTCATCAGTGTAGAGGGAAAAGTAGCAGGAGCAGAGCTTTCACCAGCTATGCATTCCAATGTTCCAACTCCTGACCTCTTCCCACTTCATTTCTGATAGAGTTCAATTTATTGCTGGTGTGTGGGCAGCAGTCCTGCACAATCAGTGTTCCATCTCCCACAATATTACCATAAGGACATTATAGAGACACAAACAAGCAGACAATTGAGCCCATGTTCTCAGCTAATCACACACAGAGTGTTTTTGTTGCACAAATCTTGATGTATCAGCATTTGCCTTTGTTTAACAAAGGGAGTAGAAGGAAGATACCAGTAACTCTAAAATGTAACACTTTATTACTCTGGTAAATTTAAAGACCATCTCCAGAATGCAAGCCAGTAGATTTACATGTAGCCTTGACATTCCGTGATCAGGAATGCACAGCCCACACTTCAGCCAAACAGAAGCAGATGCAAACAGAAACTGGAAACACAAAGTCAGGCAGCTTTTTACAAAACAGCCTGAGGGGAGCTGCCAATGGCTGCAAGCCTTAGTATGAGTTTTAACTTCTTGTTGGGTTCCTGACTTATTAACCTTGATCAGACAATAGTGAGACTGAACACTATACTACTTTTTCAGGATTTTACTTGTGCTTTACAAAGATTTATTTGAATTACAAAACTACTGTCACAGTCAGCAAATAATAATAATAATCCTTGCATTTGATATAGCGCCTTATCATATCTTCGAGATGTCTCAAAGTGCTTCACAGATAATACTGTAAAGTGAATTGATTGTATATTTGTGGGTGAATCGTAGTAGACAATTTTGCACAGCAGCGTCCCACAAACAGCCATCGATTGAGTGACCAAATTTTTTTAAGGAATCGAATAACAACCAGGTACCAACTGCCGGGTACCTACTGCTGGGTAAACAGAGGCGGATGAAGTAAGGAAACTTGGCCAGCATTTTACCCTGCCCAGGAATCGAACCCAGGTCTCTCGCTTGCGAGGCGAGTGCTCTAACCACTGAGCTACAGGACTCCTTGCACCCGATCCCCAAACTTGTATTACTGGGAGACTCGCTTACAATGTGTTAATTCAGTGTTAATTCTGTCTTCTCTGTACATGTGAAGGCATTTGGCGTATTTGAATGTTGTAAATCTAACTGATGGAACAGGTTCATTTCTTTCTGGATTCATGTTGCAATCATCAAGTAAAAACATGTCCCAATGCAAAACGTTTCAGCAAACTACTCTTGCGTCTGTGCCCATATTTTCAGCACATTCTCCCTACAAGGTCAGCATGCTATATTGTACTGTTTAACATTTTATCAATAAATTATTGCACTTAACATTTTTTCTCCAAAAAAGGGCACTTAGATTCAGCCTCTAATTACTAAATGCCCTATTCAGGGGACAGTGACATTAGCCAGTTTTTGGTCAGTGACATTTAATAGAGAATAAATAGAAGGAAAGTTTCTTTTCTATAACAGTGTGCTTTGGTAAATTGTTTGGCCCCTGACTCCCACACCAACGATTAACAGTCCGAGTCCCAAGATTACCTGCTCTTAATTTGGGTGTGTTTCATTAATTATTACAATACAAATTGACATTTATATATAGAGTGTATTTCACTTCAGGAGGATGCCACCTTTTGGTTAAAATCAAAACAAGAGTTGCCACATCAATTTGCACCTTGCTGTCTTGATTGCAGTGGGATGGTGATGGTGCCCAGTGACTGTGAAGGGCTATGAAGCTTTCCCCCCCAGGTCAGGATAATGTGCAGCGCTAGCAGAAACAGAGAGAAAGGGGAATGATAATTGAAAACTCACATCATGAAATTGCAAGGATAAAGATTCAGATTGCATCCAAACCACATAATCTCTGGTAATTAAATATCTATTTTGTATATAATTTAGGCTAAAATGTAATTTGGAAAGACAATGTCATTACCATGGGAATTCCAGGCCTCGTGGTCACATTCAAAAAAGGAAGATTCCTTCGGAAAGGAAAGTAAGCTTAGTGTGCAGTGTGCACTGATCCACTGCTAACATGTTGTCATATACTGCATCCAGTTTTACCCAGTTGATGACATTCTTGTTGGATTCTGAATTTGAGTTACCTTTTTAGGCCTTTTTTATTGTCATATGTTAACTTTTTTAATAACTGATAGGGAAACACATTATTAGGTAATGGCACTGTTGCAGATCTTTTATAATTGATTTTGGTTGGAAGAGTAGAAATGATCTTGGGTTGCAAAATGTCTTGTGAAATATCTTGAGAAACTTTAAATATTCTGTTAATTGTAAAGAAAACACTTGTATTTAGAGAGACTATCTCTAGTTGCTATTCGTGGTCTTTTGATTGTTGTTATCATATCATTTTCCTAAATGAAGAACCTTGTGTGGGGAAGGACAGGACGTGGGAATCCCATGCATGTCAAATAAAGCGAGCAGTAAATACCTGGCATATTTTCAATCAGGATGGTTCCTTATAAGACTGATTTACTTTCCCTATCAGAAGATTAATTGAAATTATTGCTCAGTATTTTCCCTTCACAATAATAATCCTTGCATTTGATATAGCGCCTTATCACGTCTTTGGGATATCTCAAAGCGTTTACAAGCTCTCTTATATGCTGCACTGTTATTTGGCAATGGGATGGAGTTCTGGAGTAAATTGGACATTGATTATTCCCCCTTCCTCAATAGAATGTCTTGCTGTACAGAATTTGTCATTGTTGGTGAGTGAGGTGTTCGGTGAGTAAGGATGAGGTAGTGAGGTAGGCTCTCATGGCCAGGGATACAAATGGGTTTGTGAGTCCATCAGACAGATACTGCTGTATCTAGCTAGGCTTGTGAGTAGATTAATGGGTGGGTCCAAAGTTTCAGCAGATGAATTCATGTATTGTGTGAATAGATGCTGAAATTATCAGAATGTCCATTCAATAAAACAAAATTTGGAGAGGTGCCTGTAGAGCAACGCCTAAGCTGAGAAGGTCCAAGGCCACTGATCAAGTAGAGCACATTGAAACAGAAAGGCAATCAAGGCATTGGAATGCAGCACTTTCTTCAGTTCGTGTTCTACATTTGCCAGTAACAGTCTCTTCTTATAATTCACCTTTTATTTTGAAAGCAAGTGTGCACTGGTCATGAAAATAAAATGCAAATTGACTTTTGAAGTATGAATCTGTGCTTGGAGATAATTCTGTCTCCGTGTGAGAAATAGAAAAACAGTAAAGCATACAATGAAAGTCAATGTCTAAATCAATGTTTAAATCACTGAGTATCAGAAGATATCGACTTTAATCCCCATACACCATGAAAGCTAATGTAGAAGCAATCACTCCTGAGAATGTTCAGGTGCTAGGAACCCTTATTCTGCACCTAAGATTAAGCTTTTTTTAATATAGTTTTTACATGTTTACTGGGGGGAAAGTAATCCAGTTACAATGAAACCCAAACCCAGTTCCCAGCCACAAATCATTTAAAGCAAGAGGGCTTGGAACTCAGCCTTTTTTTAGCCTTTTTATGTGGAGCAATACCTTAGACTTGACTTCCTTCCTCAGTCTGTTTGCTATTGATATTTTTTATCTACAGAATATTTGATTTGATCACTGGAAATTGAGCTGGATAGGAATGGAACATTATTGAACCAGCCCAGTTGCACAGCTCCCCACACTTCCACACTTGACCCCAATCATGGGAGTCATTTCTTCCGCCCATTGTGGAAGCCATATCCAAATGTTAGGTGTTGTTACAAGAAGATCACTTGCTTAACTTAAAGGTCTGAATGTGTAGGTAAGTGCTGTGTTTAGTTCTGCGGTTTTGATACCTAAGATTTAATGTGTTCTTTGAATCTTGTTTATTGTGCAGATTAAAGCATTTTGTAAAGTGTATTGTAATTGTTTTGTACAATGTTGGAGACACAATCTGCTCATTGGGCTGCTTTCTTTGGTGTTAATTCTTTGTATTAATTCTCTGTTTGAAATGGTACAGTGTCAAAACATTCCCTTTGTTAATGTGCTCCTAATGTGGTAAAAGTGTTCAAAAGCTTATACGGGGAGGGGGCGGGAGGAGAAACTCTTTCATTTTTTAAAATAAAAAACAATAAAATTAAAATGCCTTTGGCGTGCTGTTATTTATGCCGTGGCGTTTAATCCTTCCGACATTTCTTGCAGCAGAAAGATTTAGTTCAGATATAGCAATTGTGAGTATATGGGTGGGAATGATCATGTGGTTTGCTTAATCTCTTCCCCACCCCCCACAGATATTTTTAGACATGCTATACATTTTATCTACCCTGAAGGACTAAATGGATTTGAACACAGAAGTGATCAGGTCTGATAGAGGCATTACATATAAAAGATTTATATTAAAAGATACATTAGGATGAGAATTTATCTATGTGGTCTATCTTAAGTCTATACTTATGTCTTCTTACTTGTCTCATTAGCACAATACCCTGTGCTGTTTTAATCTTATGCAGATTGTAATGCACTGCAGAGTGTTCTTAGCCTCGACTCCGTGTAAAAGGTAAGTTTACCTCTATAAACTTAGAGCATCACCTCATTTTTACATCAGGAGAGCTTGAACATAGTCTGACTATATTAAATGTATGTATGCATTGTGTTGTATGTACTATAATACTACAATATACTCAAGTCCTGTAGCTCAGTGGTTAGAGCACTCTCCTCGCAAGCAAGAGGATCTGGGTTCGATTTCCGGCAGGGCAAAACCTTAGGCAAGTTTCCTTACTCCACATGCCTCAGTTTATCTAGCAGTCAGTAGGAACCCGGTTGTTAGTCGATTGGTGGATTGCTTTTCCGGGGGCAATAATTCCTTCAAAATAAATGTTAAAAAATAATTTGGTCACTCAATGTTGTGGGACTGTTTGTGGGACACCGAGGTGCGGAAGAGAAATGGCCACATGGGGTTTGAAGCTTCCGTTCCTACTTTCTGGTATTAATATGTCTGGAGGCTGGTGGAATTCTACTCAATGTCAACAAACAATCTGGAGGTAGTCCAGATTCTGAGTGAGTGAGAGATTGTTGGGCAATAAAGCATCATTTGACAAACCAGTGTAGGGCACAGTGGCCATAGTGGGTAGTGTTGGGACAGGAACCCACTCCTGCTTAATGCTTCTTTAATCTTATAGGGTTAAAAAGGATGGAGGATAAGTGAATATTCTGTCTCCGGTTTCACTTTGTTCAGATTTCACCCACAGCAGGTGCAACAAAGACAGTCTGGCTGCGATACAAAAACATCCTGTGAGCCTTCACTCCGAGTATTGTGTTTGCAAAACAGCTGTTCCTATCTCCATGGAAATTCTTTTGCAAAATTATCATATGCAACTTGGCAGTAAATTCAGCATATTCTCTCTTCCTGTCTCTCTGTATATGTGTATATCATTCAGTATGTTATAATAATAATCCTTGCATTTGATATAATGCTTTATCACATCTTCAAGACATCTCAAAGGACTTCACAGAATACACTGTATATTTGCGAAACACACCAGCTAATTGCACACAACAGCGTCCCACAAACAATCGTGGATTGAGTGACCACATGTTTTTTTAAGAGATTGTTACCCCCGGAAAAACAATCTACCAATCGACTAACAACCAGATTCCTACTGACTTGGTAAACAGAGGCGTGTGGAGGAAGAAAACTTGCCCAACATTTTGCCCTGTTTTCATTGTTTTCATCTTTTCCTTTTACATGTGCAAAGAACCTGTTA